GGAGCCGTGTGGAGTAGTTTAATGATGGATGGATGGTTTTTCAGGTTTCAAATACAGGGGCACCATTCACAGCAGCTTGGAAGTGCCAGGACAATTTTAAAATAACTGCGATTGTGTTCGTCTGAAAGAGGAATATCAGATATGCCTAGGATGGCCCGAGGGTGAGTAAATCATGGGCTAATTTTCATTTTTGGGTGAACTATCCCTTTAATCTTAAGGCATCAAAGAAGCATTCCGTATGAAAGCTATACGAAATGCATAGAGTTTGTACCGTGTTCGCAGGCATATGCCATATGAACACCCTAGACCATACGAAAAACAAACTCTAAATTGAGAATTAATCATTCTTTTTGGCCAAGTCATTGATTGATTTGTGAACATAGCCGTTCTTGGAAGGCTTTAAGACCAGGCAGAATCTTCTGCCTACTGATGGTCGCTCCCGCTTCACACCCACGCGGCAATTCTTCAGCAAATCAGCTTTGACGAATGCAAACAACTTGGTTACTTTTCATGAGTTCAACATCCAGCCATGCAAGAAAACAAGCAATCAATGATCAACAAGGGAAGTCATCTTTCATTATTGTAAGTTAATGTTGTTAAATAGGCCTAGATAAAAAAAAAAAAATTTTACATTTAAGTAGGTAACGTCTAGCATATTCTTAACCTTGGAACACATTCTTGAAACACAAAATGACCAATAAAGTGTCAAGCACAAGCAGCCATATTCTACAAGTTCTCTTCTCTTTATATATATATATATCCCTTATTATTATTTTCCTATGAAAAAACACAATTGTCCCTTATTTTCCTTTTCTGATGTTGGCAACATGCTGATCACACATGCAGACACTAATTTGACTTATTTGAAATTTGAATTATTTGACTTTTGAAGATGGAAGGAGAATGGAATTACAGTAATTCAGTTCCGAAGTTGCCAGTTTTATTTACAAAGAGTTTGCTTCGAGAGGGCTGCCTTTCTTAATCATCAGAATGACTCTGTAGACTGTGTTTGACTCTGTAAGGTCAAGTATTTGTTCAAGTCTTGCAGTCTCTATGACGTCTAAAACTAAGCACAATGTGTTCACTCCTCATTCAAGTTCAGATAACAGACCGCTAAACAGCTCTCATTTGCACAAATTAAAACATCCTCATATAATTTTGCCACAGGAAATCACATGTGCTAAGTTATTATGCATCCACCCTTCTCCTTGAAGGGGTTTTTGTCTTCAGGAACTCCTTTTATGAGAGGATCTTCTGCAGCTTGGGCCTCAACCCATTCACAAATCTCCTTTGCGGTTTTAGAGACCTGAGGAAAGAGTGAAAATATGTCAGAATTCTGCCTCCTAATGGTCCCTTCATTAAAAATTCAAAATGTTTAATAAACAAAACAAAAAAACTGCAAGGGTTGCACGATGTAAAGTACTTCTTCAGGCTTTCAATTTAATCAGCAAGCAAAGACACTTACAGGCTCTCTAGTGTTCTTCACCTCCTTCTGAAGTTGTTCCAACTCCATTTTCAGGATGTCATTATCAGACATATCCCGCGCCATCTTGCCCTGAGCAAATTAAAAGTTACAGGGTCACGTTCATTTTAAATCTGTGACAGTCACATTTTTTAAAGATCACATTTCTAAATACCTCAGAAAAGGACGAAAAATAATGATCATAATGTAACGGGAGGAATGCGATATAAATCCCAGCATACATCCCAGTGTTTAATGCCCCAATATGTATCCTTAAAGATCAAGACACATCACTTTTAAAAGCTGTATGACACATGGGACATATTCCAATTCATTGGAAATGCTTATGCTGTGTGTCACTGGAAAAACAGGCTTTATTGTTCAGAAGTCAAGTGAGTGGAACAGGTTTAACGCACGATTTGTGTAATACTAAACTATTAATTATGAAAAAGATCAGTTGACCCGGAGTTGTAAATTGACTGATATCTTGATACTTTAAACTGAGTAAATACAGGTCCCCCCCCCCCGATAACTGAATAACAGCACAAAAGAATTTAAACAGGTCATGCAACAAGTTAGTCATTGTCTTAGCGGTGTCATTGTTTGTTTTGAGGGTTTTTAGTTGTACATTTAAAAACTCTACTTGTCTTCTCTCATTAAATTCTGATTGAGGTGCCAAATTCCTAATATTAAATCAAATTTTATTATAATAAACAAGTGTATGTCATAAATGCTCGCAATCTCTTTTCTACCATAACTACAGTATTGTGAACAAGGCCTAACTATTTATGTATTTTACTCTACAAAATGTGGTTACTGTTGTTAATGTCACCTAAAATGATGATATAATATTGTCAAGATCTTTTAGTCTAGTGTTTCCCAGATGAGCATAATAAAGTAAACATGTACTGTACATGGGCATATTTATGGAGAAACATGCTAACCAATATGATCTAACAGTTGTGATAACTCATATGGTTCTGCCATTGGGGTAAGAAGATGTTCAACTGCTGCAGTTCATTTTGATTGAGAAGATAGCAATACAATATTCACAATTCCTCATAGCTTTCACTGTAATCAAATGCTTACCTTTTCTGGCTTTATAATTATACATGTATATTGTCATTCATATAATTAAACCTTAAAATATACTTATGAATATAATGCATTTACAGATTTATCCCCTATAGTGCTGTTTGTTTCACTTACCTATTGGTCAGCTGGGCAGCCGATGGAGGGAATGCGTCGCTCTCTGCAATTTAAGGGACCATGTACAGGGTTTGGGGTCTGGTGATGGACTGAGCACTTCGGTCTGCTGCTGTCACCTCTTCAGGATCACCTCCAGATGGCGTGAGGTGGGGGGGGGGGGAGACTGATCCCCAACAAACACACTTCCTTCATCCAGATTTCTTATCAGTTTAAGCCATCTTGGTAATTAATGAGGTCAAATCACCCAGAATCAAGGCAGAGCGGTTTATTTGTGAGTGCATGTGGGCTGTTCTTCTTACAAGATTTAATTTTATGTAACGTGCCATGAAAAAAACTGGAGTTGGTACAGAGGATCTATCTGCAGTTGATGTATTTATTTTTAGAGGTCAACATGTCACTGACCTTCTCTAGAATCAGGTATCCTGGACATGACCGAATGAATGTGTGAGCCATCTTATTCATCCAAGTCAATTATCCTGTTAACCCAGAACACTTCCAGAAGAACAAATAAATGGTTGAATGCTTTGGGGTTGTCAATGACTCTAGGAGCAGGGTGGCCAATAGACAGTACAATGTTTACAATGCTTATACATAATTTACACCTATATTCTTTAAAAACAAATACATGGTAATTAATGAGGTCAAATCACCCAGAATCAAGGCAGAGCGGTTTATTTGTGAGTGCATGTGGGCTGTTCTTCTTACAAGATTTAATTTTATGTAACGTGCCATGAAAAAAACTGGAGTTGGTACAGAGGATCTATCTGCAGTTGATGTATTTATTTTTAGAGGTCAACATGTCACTGACCTTCTCTAGAATCAGGTATCCTGGACATGACCGAATGAATGTGTGAGCCATCTTATTCATCCAAGTCAATTATCCTGTTAACCCAGAACACTTCCAGAAGAACAAATAAATGGTTGAATGCTTTGGGGTTGTCAATGACTCTAGGAGCAGGGTGGCCAATAGACAGTACAATGTTTACAATGCTTATACATAATTTACACCTATATTCTTTAAAAACAAATACATTTATTAAAAAAATTTAAAAAAATATTTATGGCTCATAATATTTCATCAAAATGTATTTTACATTAACAAGACTGTTAGTAGACTCTATCTCTAATAATAACTGGCATGGTGACATTAAAAAAAACATTACTACTCATCTTTAATCACATTTTCAAGGCAAGAAACACAAATAGAGTGACCTCTGGTCTTTCTTGACAGAGGCCCAGACCAGTAATATGTGACTCTTAACATGGAGGTCTCCTTGATTCGGTCCCCTATCCCGTAACACAGTCCATCTGTAGGCAGGCAAGTGACACCAATCTGCTCATTCTAATCAACATGTCAAATAAAATCAGAATGAACTGAAATCCACAATGACTGAGAAATGCAATCCTTGACCTACAAGGATCTTATATTTGGTCTTTTATCTGTGTGATGTCAACGCCAATTAAAGGCCTCGTCTGAGTGATCCATTATCCTGAAGACAAGCCTCTGGCCTTAACTAATCCCATCACAAGGTCTTGACTGTCTTAATCCAAGAGATTAGACTCAGAGATGTCACTCTCACTCTTGATTTTCACTATGAAATATAGAGCAAGGCTTCCTGTTTTTTTTTTTATTGTTTATATTCATAAGTTTTAAATAGCACGCTATACAATATTCATGTCCAAAAATGATTGAAATAAAACTATACTTTCTAAAAAAAATGATAATAATACTAAAGAAAAACAAAATCACAGATTAAATGTTAACTGAGGTAGGAGCATTACACATTCATTCATCTGAACACAGTGCAGTAATTATATTACACCCCATTACAACAGTCCCTCCACTGTTATTGCTATCCTAAAAACAATTACTTGTATTATATGTAGAATTTTAAACCTACATTTAACATCCAACAACAAATATTTTAGCACAATGTATATTTTAGTTTAGGTTCTATTCTATTGCGTTTCATATATTTTACATGCAAATGTGCATCGGCGCATATTCAGTGCAGTCTGTGTTTAACAGTGTCTCTTTTTCATGGATGGCCCATTATGCAAACTGGAAATACTTTCCAACATTTAGGTCTCAAATGCTGCACACACATCTGTCAAAGCAATTAACAGGGCAAGTTGGGCTGCTTATGCATTTGTTAGACGCGCTTAATAGAAAGCATTCTTATGTTTAGGACAACTTAGGTCATGCAGCTCACTCTGTCCTCCGCTATTTGCATTGTCCTTTAGGTGACATGACTGGCAGATGTTTTCCACTTGTTTAATCGATAATCAAATTAGATTATTTTCAAAAATAATCACTAATTATTACTAATCAGTACTTGATGTAGTTAAGATAGTTCTTAAAGAAATGGTGAAGCAGTTTTCTCACTTCATCAAGTTTCCCTTGATTCCTATAAGAGTCATATTTGTCCTGTGCCCGATGTGTCTGGTGACCAACAGAAAGGCCTTTACAGGAGGCAACCAACAGCTTTCCAAGTCCGTCAATGAAGAACTCTGAAGTCAGTGGTGACGATCCACAGATGACATGGAAAAAAAGGATGGATTGAGAAGAATGAAATGTGCTTGGAATCAGTCAACATCAGTCAATGTTTTACTGAAGTAAAACTTGGTACACTTACCGGTGTGACCAACTCTTTTCAGGAACGGGTCAAAGCCAACACTTCGCACCGCATCAGTCCTGGCCAAGAAATAATTAATGACACCATCGACTAGAAAGCAGCCATCATAGCCTGGAAGTGGCTGATGAAACCCTCTAATACGCCTTAGGCAGCCGCCGTCAGTCATATCTCCCTCATCAAACTCCAGAACGAAGTAGAACTGATCACCTGACACCTCACCACCAAGCTAATCCAAGAAAAAGAGCTTTTACAACAAGTATATTCAGGGTATCTGCAGGATTTTAAAGCTCAAATTTAAGACTTTTTAAGACCTGCACAAATCAAATTAATACAAGCGGGGTAGGGCAATGTCTAGGGTAACATATTAAACTGTAAAATGACTGTAAAAAGTATGATTTACAGTTTAAATACAGGTTTTCACAAAAACTAAAAGTTTTATAAAATGATAAACTTCACATTTCAGCCTTTAAGCTATTTTTAAGAAAATGGATGAGTCAAAAGTATCAATTATTATATTAATTTCAACAATTATTATCATAAAATTATAGTATCAATTATTATATAACATACAAATATATTTTACTCTCTTAATTGTTTAGGCCATGGTAATCATATTTTTTTTTTTTTTTTTGTGGTTTACCATTTCCTGGGTCATACAGAACAGGTACTGATGGTCTCCTAATCATGATTGGAAACATGGCCTCATGGTCCTCAAAAAAGAAATGAACTAGGAAAGAAGACATATTTCATTTGTCATTGTATTATAATTTTAACAATTATAAGAAACATTTTTTACAGTGATTAAATAGTGAATACATACAGCTATTTAGATGGCCGTCTGTTTTTAATATGTATGATGGATTTTTTTTTAAAGTTGCACTTAATCACAAAGGCCCGTTCACACCAAGAAAGATACTATAATGACACATTCCACAACAAAGCGCGCATCTGCTGCTTTAAATGCTTGAACTCTTTAAAGGGATTCCCCCCAAAATGAATATTTGCCTTTTAATTTATTCACCCTCAGGCCATCCAAAATGTAGAAGACTCAAAAATAGACAAAGTAACGCATCTGACAGCAATATTGTGTGTAAAATGTAAGTTGCTCCATATTAACTTCCTGTTTATTGAATGGTTCTATAAAAGCAGATCACATCAGTCAAATTCACCAGGTTACACTGATTAACGTGAACTTGAGCGTTAATCCTGCCTTTTCATCACTGTGTGCTTGAGCAACACACTTTACATATTGAAGGCCTAAGTGTCTCTCCTGTAGTTGCTTTTATAATCAGATAGCCTTTACCCAAGTCTGATGTCCTGATGTGGTAGATGGTGCTGGTGTAGGTCACTCTGGACAGCAGATCATTGAGTTGTGTGAGGTTGTTGGATGAGATGGTCAGATTACTTTGACCCTGTCCTTCCACCTGATCTCCATCCAGAACATCCTCCACTGAGAGCACTCCACTCTTCACACTCAAAGACACCTGCAGACATCATTGTGATTAATGCAGATAAAGTACTTTCAAGTTCTTTCAAGTTTTCAAGATTTTACATTGAATGCTTAACAAAGTACAATCATAGTGAATGAATACCTCATGCACTCAGAAATTGGTAAATTTCACAAATAATTACAAAGAAATGGCAAAGTGCACACTGAATTACACTTGACACTTCGAAGTAACAAAGAGTGAAATAGTATTCTCTTGTAAAACATACTCAAACTTTTATTTAGAACTGCAAAATGAAAAATCTTTGTACACTGTACTACCTACAATTTTACCTAGCCTATATTAAAAAACAGAAAGCACAAAGGGCATTGTTTGCTCAACCTTGTACACCTCACTCTTGCCTCTCCCTTGTGTTTGAAGAGCAAGACCTGAAATGATGATATAAAAAAACAATTCACTTAATAGATCAAAGAAAAAAATTATTTTGCAACATGGTTTAATACACCCTTAAACATGACTCAGTTAACAGGGAACATATGCTAACCTGGTATCATACTTTTCTTCAGAGGAGCTACCTTGAAACCTGTAATTGGATATTGGAGAGGAGAGTTGGCCGGGGCGATAATAATATCTGCATGTGTCTTCCTCCTGAAAAAAAAGGCATGCAAAATACAACAATTTTGGAAAAACTGTATAAATGGCTCTCAAAAATTCTAATGAAAGAATGATCATTGGAATGTTCGAGCGCACCCTTGCTAAGAGATAATATGATGTAGCAAGTCAGTCCTCAATGAGAGATGTACCTCAAAACAACAAAGATATGCAGATAAAGGTCAAAATGCTCTAAAAATATGATGACTGTCAGAAAATCTGAAATGAAATGTGCATTGTTGCCCTCTGGCCAGAGCTAGAGCACTAAGCACTAACTTTCATCTGTAAATAGCACATACGCACATTCACAATTCTGTCTATTGGTATTTTCCTTTTCTCTATATTTTACCATATTATATTTTTATGTATTGTCTATTCTCTTAATTATTAGTGTTTTATTTCACTTAATTGCCTTACATTATATGTATGTCTGCATTCTGTCTGTACTTTATGTACTGGAAGCTCCTGTCACCAAGACAATTGCCTTGTGTGTTAATCACGCTTGGTAATAAAGCTCTTTCTGATTCTGATTTAATGTGATACTCATGACAGATGACAACATGACATGGTGTTGTGTTACAGGACTGTGGGCGAGATGAAGAGAAATCTAGTAACCTGAGTTGGTGTTGCTTGTACTCATTCGCTCTGCGTTCCAGAATGCTATCCAGTTGATCTGGCACTAATTGTCTGGTGAGTTCATCTCCATGGCAAGAAACATTTGGCTGGAGGAGTTCCGTCAAACTTGACAAACATGTAATGACCACAGGTTATGCAGAGCATCTAAACTGGAACTACTTAAGATTAATTAGGAAAAGTTAAATGACACTTACCTTGAGATTTTATCTTGTTCAGGGCTTGCACTGTTGAATAGAATAAAGTAAGCAGATGTAATCGCATTGCTCAGTAAATAGACTAATGGAGGTTAAGGTACAGACTAGTTATAGAATGCAACACTGATCACAAGCAGAAGAAACTGAAAAATTCATACAATTTTACAAATGGGTGTTTCTTCGAATTTGACCACTTTAATGCCCCAGGGTTTTTATTATTGTTATTATTTAAAAAAGAGAATTTTTGTTTTTGTTGTTATTGAATGGTCACATTTCAACTTTCAGTTTTCTCTGGTCCTTGACGACTAACCTTACATCCGTCATATAATATAAATTATGATACATTTAAAATCAATTGTATCGATCAGTATCAATTGTGAACAGAACTTATTTATTTTATATATTTATTATTATTATTTTTTGCATAATTTTTTACCAAATTATGCAAAAAATGTATATTATTTAAATGTGTGTATTTAGTATACATGAAATGCTCAAATTAGCTTGATTTAGATTGACCATTTATGTTCCTGGGACTCTTGGTTTGTAGTTTATTTACTTCTGTATCTGAGTTCTAGTTCTCTGTTTATTTCCTTGATTTCGCATTTGTTTCTTTGATTACTGATTTAGTCCACCTGTGTGTATTTCCTTGTTCTTACATGTGTGTTTATAGCCCTCTGTTTTCAGTTTAGCTTGTCGGCTGTTGTCTTTGTGTGTAAGTATTTGTGGTTCTTTGTGACTTATCGACTTCTTGGATCATCTTTCATATCAATAAAAGTACAATATGATACCAAATTATATCACATCATATGAGCACTGCCTACAGGGCTCCCAAACACAATTAGGCAGGCAAAAAAAAGTGTAATACTGCAGAGATCAGAGGCATTTTTGATGTCAGTGGAGAAGCTTCACTGTGTTGAATAAACTGCATTTATGAGGAAACAGCTTATTATTTAATGAATCATCAGCCTATCTGCTAATCTTCAACATGTTTGCCATTAAACATTCATTTTGGTTTGTTCTATCACTTGCTCAACAGGATCCTCTGTAGTGAATGGGTGTTGTCAGAATGAGAGTTCAAACTGCTGATAAAAACATCGCAACAATTCACAAGTAATCCACACCACTCCGGTCCAGTCTATCAGTTAACATCTAGTAAAGTGAAAAGATGTTGGTAACACTTTACAATAAGGGTACATGAATAATCACGTACTAATGCCTAAATCAATACTTAATTCATCATATACTGATTATTAAAGGTGTTAACTAATCATGAACTAATGAAGAGCTATCCTTAACTACGACTGGAGTCACATGGATTCACGCATGAATAACAGCAGCCTTAACTACATGTTTGATAGTTAATGCATTAATTAACATTTATTGGTAAACTAAATCAAACAGCCTCTTTGAAAAAGGAATAAGAAATACTCTGACTTTGAAATTAATTTAAATAATGTAATATCATAATTTGAGCTTTTGACATCTTCAGTATTGTCGTAATCGTTACTGGGTGGCGAAGGTTGATCTTCCTCATCAAGCATAGAAAATATTAATTACACTAATAACTGATCTTGTCTGTTTTGTGTTGTTCTCTTTCCCTTTAAACTCACTCTACTGTGACTTGTATGCAGCTAAATAAATAAATAAAAACTCAAAACGTACAAATAATATTTGTAGAATGATTCCTAAAGAAATGGCCAAACTAGAAACATGCAGGTAAGGTCAGAATGTTTGCTGGGTGTCAGTTCAGTTCACTCTCCATCCAGACGCAGGCCGTGATGATCCTCCTCTCTCTGGCTTCTTGAAAAGCCACACCACATCTCTTAATCGGGTTCAGTACTCACTGTGTTAGTACATGTGTATTTGATAGAAAGTATAAAATAAATCATGTGCCGAGTTTAGTAAGTAGTTAACAGTTAATTGATTATGACTGGGCCCCCTCAAGTAAAGTCATGTCAAAATAATGCATTAACAAGCCATGAGTAGATGTCAGTGTATGGACAGTTAATAATGAATTAATTATTATGGTCCCTCTCAAATAAAGTCATGGCAAAACAATGCATTAACAAACCATGAGTTGATGTTAGTTTATGGCGAAATACTCTGACTTTGAAATTAATTTAAATAATGTAATATCATAATTTGAGCTTTTGACATCTTCAGTATTGTCGTAATCGTTACTGGGTGGCGAAGGTTGATCTTCCTCATCAAGCGTAGACAATACAAAATACACTAATAACTGAATTTGTCTGTGTTGTTCTCTTTCCCTTTAAACTCACTCTACTGTGACTTGTATGCAGCTAAATAAATAAATAAAAACTCAAAATTTGGTGAAGAAAAAGTACAAACTTTTGAGTGTGAAGTAGAAGAGTAGGCAAGTTTGGGACATATATACTATCACATCATACAATTGCGTCTTTAACGGACCGCTCTGTCACATAATTACACGCATCCTGTCACTGTAAACGGGCCTGTCATCGTCTTGTCACATTTAACATCCTCCACATTTCATTTCATTTAACTTCCTACCATATTGGAGAGAAAAGAAGTAGCACATTGATCTGCCAGCCGTGGGTCTTTATACAGAGAACTCTGCTAATTTTTTTGCATAATGATGCATTTAAAAGTTAATGGTCAAATAGAAGTTTATAAAAGTTCACATAGTTGTAGATGAAATATAACACAGATAACATTAAATAAGACCATGAGTTGATGTTAGTTTATGGCTAGTTAATAATGAGTTAGTAATGATGGGCCCCTCAAAGTAAAGTCATGATCACGTCCAAATTAAGCTAATCGAAGCATACAATTAAACGACAAACAAATTGCTGTTACTGTACATAACTTTCCAAAAAAAAGACATGCAAACATGACTTTAATGATTAATTCTGTTTACAAAAGCAGCCAACATTTATTAGATTAAAACGTGCCGAGCGAGCACATAGAGTGCCACCGGAAACAAACCCTACATACTAGTCCCGTTTATTCAAAATGATTCAATTATTGTTCGTTGAAAGTATTAGTGCCGTTAATTAGACAGATCAATTAAATTAAACGTGGAAAACAGACTAATAACTATCACTAATATTTTGTATTATTCATTTATGTTTAATCATAACGTCTTTTCTTCCCGGGACTACAGTATGTGGGACACTCATTAGTGGCGGACTCTAGGCTCTCTTTTTTTGGATCATTATACAGTAATTATAACAGCAATGTGTTTGTTGTTTTAATTGTATGCTTCCATTAGCTTAATTTGGACGCGCCATATTTGACCTTAATATTTTTCCTCATCTGTATCTTTACAGGTATGTTTGGGCTTTTTTTTTTTTCTTTCTTTTTTTTTGAGTCCATATACGGTTTGTTTAATGATGTAAACAAATGTAAATAAAAGAACTATAAATAACCTTTATCTTTGTTTGTTGTACTGGTGGTTTAAAGGAATAAAGATGACTTACTGCATGTTTAATGGTATTTTATTTGATGATTTGTTATTGTCATTGTGTCATGACTTTACTTTGAGGGGCCAGAGAGAAGTCAGAGAGCGGAGGTACAGGATCATCACGGCCTGCGTCTGGATGGAGAATGAACTGAACTGACACCCAGCAAACGTTCTGACCTTACCTGCATGTTTCTAGTTTGGCCATTTCTTTAGGAATCATTCTACAAATATTCTTTGTAGGTTTTGATTTTTTATTTATTTATTTAGCTGCATATACGTCACAGTAGAGTGAGTTTAAAGGGAAAGAGAACAACACAAAACAGACAAGATCAGTTATTAGTGTAATTAATATTTTCTATGCTTGATGAGGAAGATCAACCTTCGCCACCCAGTAATGATTACGACAATGCTGAAGATGTCAAAAGCTAGGACATTGATTAGCTTGTTCAGGTGTGTTTGATTAGGGTTGGAGCTGAACTCTGCAGGACTGCGGCTCTCTAGGACCGAACTTGCCTACCCCTGATTTAGGCATTAGTATGTGATTATTCATGTACCCTTATTGTAAAGTGTTACTGATACAAACTGTGCAGTGTTGGGGATACTCCAGGAATGTGATTGTGAACTGTTGTAAAAGTTCAGAGGGTTATAATTGCTGATAGTTGAAGAAACACCCTGTTACTAAAATAACCACTGTGCACAGGTTGCTCTAAAATCATTGTAAATCATTTTGAGAATTTTCTGAATAACAAGAAACTAACTAAGAGACTAAGAGAAATAAATATGAAAAAAGGACTGCATACCTGGGTGCTATGCTTTTCATGACTTTCAACACGCCACTTTGTATAAAGTAGATGCTCAGTCCAGTACCAAGAAAAATAAGGAAAAAAATAAGGCGGATGTACCTCATGCACTCCATTATGGGGGATGATCTGAAAGAACAGAGAGAAACATGAAGCAATGGGTCAAGTGAGAAGGGAACAGGAAAGGGAAGGCCACACAAGCTGGGTTCTGCGTTTTTGATGCGCAGCTGCGTCATAAGAACACGGCTCCCAAACAGATGATGTGTCCCAATGTGCCTCCTTATATGCCCTTAAAGTATGTACTCTTTTTGTTTAAAAAAAAAAAAAAAAAAAAAAAGTACAAACTTTTGAGTGTGAAGTAGAAGAGTAGGCAAGTTTGGGACATATATACTATCACATCATACAATTGCGTCTTTAACGGACCGCTCTGTCACATAATTACACGCATCCTGTCACTGTAAACGGGCCTGTCATCGTCTTGTCACATTTAACATCCTCCACATTTCATTTCATTTAACTTCCTGTCTTTCATGCCGAGAACTCTGCTCATATTTTGATGCATTTGATGCATTTAAAAGTTAATGGTCAAATAGAAGTTTATAAAAGTTCACATAGTTGTAGATGAAATATAACACAGATAACATTAAATAAGTATTTTTACCAGATTAAATGTTGATTATTAGTAACTCAAACCCCTTTATCTAAGCGCACATGTTTGTAGTTTTTTTTAATGCTTTTTATTTGTATTTGTAGTTCTGAACCGAATCATTCGCCAAAGCGCAATGGATTGTGGGTAATATTATCCATCAGAGTGTGCATGGATCCACACTTCAAAAATCTATCTGAAATAGTAGACCATCCGGGGACTTCTGGCATACTATTTATTTAACATACTACTTACTGTATGCTTTGGGACACACTTATTCTAATCTCACATACTATTTAGGATGGATAGTATGAACATTGGGAAGCAGGGACACACTTCTTAGAAATGCTACAAAGGCTTAAATGAGTACAGTTTGAGTAAAGTGCATATTTCTGCAAAAAGTGTATTTTGACAACATTTACTCTGGTCAACCGTCACATTCCTGTGCCATATTTGAGTGCCGCCCATGAGCTTATAGAGCGTTTGCACCTACGTCACGGTTTGGTCAGTTACCCGGATGCCATATTGGAGATACTCGATTGTAAAAAACAGCATGAATTGCACAGTTAAAGTACTACTGAAGACATTTTAAAAATGTTAATAATTAGGAAGTGATTGAATTAGTTCACAATTATGAGCTCTAGTTTGTGTCAGTTCAGTCTCCGACTCCAAAAGACCTATACCTTTAGTGAAAGTAGGCTGGGGAGGACTTTTCTTGAATATAAATAATGATGTTCTCTTGACAAAAACA